CCTAGCATGTATCAGGCTCTAGATTTGGTCCTCAGCACTGAAGGGAAAGCAAAATCCAGATTAAAAAGATCTATTAAGCAAGGAAATGTAGATGAAAAAAGAACTACTCTAACTCATTACTGTAAAATTAAGAACAGCATGGATAAAAAGAAAAATATAAAAGGAGAAAAACAAGTTACATACGAAGAATTACGCAGCAGAATGGTCTGAATTTGTCACTAGACGCTATACATAATACACTAGAGCACTGCCTTCAAAAGATAAAGTTTCCAATGCAAAATTCTATGTCCATCTGAACTATAAATAAGAGGACTGGTAAAACAAAGGCTTTGTTTTAAGTCTCAAATGTTTAACTCCCATGACCTTCTTCCTAAAATTAGAAGTTGAAAAAAAAAAAAAATTCAAGATCCTGGAAATAAAATGTGCAACCTAAGCCAGATGAAATTCCCCAGGATAGCAGTGAAAGGATATCCAAGAATTACTGCCACCCTATTTCACAGAATTAGCCCACACTCGAGCAAGACTAGCGCCTGGAAGGGTAACTTTTTAGCAGATGAAACTGATAAACCAATTATTCATATTGAGAGAAAACTGTACATCTTTGGCAAAGAATCTGGTGATTAATAAGTGTTAAGTAGTAAAGAAAGCAATTTAACAAATGAGAAGGAAGAAAATTATGACTGAGATTACAGATTTAAACTGTGTAATAGTGACTTCATGTGGAAAAGAAATCCAGACAAGGGCAGTCCAGGGCTCCAACTGCCATGATCCAGGGTGTCAGGTAACCAAATTGCTTCTGTCTTGTTATAATCCTTTCAACATGTGCCTTCTACCTCATAGTCCAAGAACTCAAGCCATCACAGCCACATTCCAGCAAGTAATGAGAGAGAAACAAGGAATAGAACAGCCCCTTCTTCCTCCATCTCGTTAGATCACTTCCAAATCATTATTAATGGACCTCCTCTTCCCACTGCCCAGGACTCAGTCACATGGCTACACCAAGCTAAGGGTGCTAGTATTCATTCCAAAACAAAAAAAAAAAAAGAAAGAGGGAAGAATGAATATTGAGAAATTGCTAGAAGTCTCTATTATTCTCCAGCACTTTATTTCTCCAGTTCTTCATTTTCCACTGTATTTTTCTTCATGCTGTGTATTCATGTCTTCAGTATCTCCAGGAGACAGGATCCAGGATCCAGTAAAGACACCAAAATCATAATGCTTAAGTCCTTTATATAAAATCCTCTAGTGTTCACCTAACATATACTCGCCCTCTTTATATTTTAAATCATCTTATAATATCTAATACAGTATTTACATACTGTATATATAATACCTAATACAGTGTAAATGTTATGTACATAGTTGTTATACAGTACTGCATTGTTAAGGGAATAATGAAAAGATAAAAGCCTACACATATTCGGTGTACGAAATTTTCTCCCCAACATTTTCCTTGCATTGTTGGTTGAATCTGTGGAAACCGGACTTTAAGATACAGAGGGGGGACAGTGTTTCTCTCGGTTTATGTGTTGTGCACCAACTGTAACTTCCAAGAAGAAAGGAACTATGCCTTCTGTTCACCTGTGTATTCAACTTTCTGAAAAAATACAAGGAGCACAGAAGAAATTTAATAATCATGGATTAGATGATTAAATGAGTTGTTAAAGGTGAAAAGAGTCTAAGAGAAAATATTTAATCTTATAGATCCAGTAGACACAAGCGATATTTTATTTAGCCTTTCTTGGTTAGAAACGGATGCCTCTCTTCTGAAAAAACTAAGGCACTTTCTCCTGAATTACTCAGTTAAAAAGCTTTTATCTGAACAAATGATTGAAAAACAAACCTTTCACAAGGCACAACCAATACAGCCACACGCAATCGGCCTGTAATACTCCCCTAGACCCAACAGTACCTCAACGTGTTCAAGAGCTCAACTACTAGCAAGAATAACATAACATAAACATCAATGTAGTGTAAATTAACACAAAGTAAAGGTCAGTTATCTAATATGAACATTAAAAGATTCAGAAAGAGAAGTTGATTTGGGGAGAGTGTGAAGAAGAGATCTGACTCCACATCCCACAAATTAATAGATTCTATGACTGAAAACCCACAAAACATGACAAATGTGCCTCCGTAAAACAGAGACGCATATTAGAGAAATGGGCCCAAGAGGAAGTCGTTCTGGGGACAATCCCAGGAGGACCGGTCGCGGGTCGCCGTTCTAGGTCTCAGAGAACTAGCCGGTTTCAGTCCCACGGTG